TCGAGAAAGCTTTGCTGCAGCACCACAAATATCTACGACCGGTGCTGAGAAGAAGTCCGGTGTTTCCATTAGGAAACCCAACTAAGAGTAAACCAATACCAGGATCCACCAACGTCCTGATATCAAAGTCGCATGATGGCAAATCTCCCTCTGATCCACATGAGCTGCGACTACCTGTCGTGGTGACGACCTGGGGCAGAGTTTGGCCAGGTTGTCTCGGGATTCCAGGGAACCAGAGTGGTTTAACTGGCAAATCTTCGAAAAATGGAGATTATGCTGGGGCCTGCACAACCAGTGAGGACGGACCATTCAAGTGTCAAGTGTGTCAAGTGACTTTTTATGAAGTGAGAGATTAGTCGAGAGGTGTAGAGTGGTTTTTTATGGGATGGAAAAATTGTCATTTCGAAGAAAACATTGTGCTACCAACATAGTATCAATTCGCCAAGGTCACAGACGTTCATTGATTATAGTATTATACTATGATTATATTATTTTGTAATATTATACCCAAATTAGTAAGTCTTTGCACAATAGCACTCTCCCAAACACAATTCATTATGTCTCGGCTTAACTGGGTTCAATGGCGATTTGGGCTCTCCAGATCAACCCCGTTGTCGGGTTTTCCTGATGGTAGTGATCGATAGAACTAGCTGAGAAACAGGCGAAACGAAGGAATCGCATGGTGTGGTGGTGAAGATGTTACTTCCCCGAAAGGATAATAGCGCGTTCGTTCCCCACCGCAGACACCTGCGGTCTGGAGTTTTTCAAATATCTCAGCATTACGAAGTTGCAGTTCATTAAATTTTTGATATTAATTCTATCTGTGGTGAGGCGGCTAGCACAGTGGTAGTAATGTCGGTTATTACGGGCACGGTGGTAGTTCGATTCCGCTGTGGGCCAACCAAGCCTCTCATCCCTCTGGGGTTGAGAAATTGGTACCCGACTTGTCCGGGAAAAGCCATTCTTCAATCCAATTAGTAACGCTCTGGCCCGGCTCTCTCAGAACTGCTGGGAGAATGGACTCAACTGGTATTCTACGACATTCAAGGTGAAATGAAGATCCTGAAGCTGTACCCGACGCTACACGTAAAAAGTTGGAATATCTTCTTGGGTAACTGGATGCGAGATAACGAATCGATTGTGAGAAGTGTTGGGATCCGCACAGTAAACGTGAAGACGGGGCATATAAAATAAAATTTTAAAAAATTCGTCCGTATTTCTTTACGAAAGCATTTTTTTGACTTTTTTGAAACTTCATGATCTCATAATTGGTTTGGCATTCTTGAAATAGTCTCCTAATATTCAGCATGTTCTTGACGACGGAGACGGACTTCGGGCTAGCTATGCTCCGTCAAGTTCCACTCAACACATCAGCAGTAGTGTCACCGATTTCAGTGATATTCTCCCTAGCTGTGCTCCAAGCAGGAGCCAGAGGCAAAACTAAAGCCGAAATTGACAACTTGATCGCAAAAGGTGAAGATGGTTTTCTACTTCTCCTGTCCTTTGTTTCTTTTCTTTCTTTTACCTTGCTTACTCCTCCCTCTCTTTACTATAACTGGTAAAAATGCTCTTTGACTACTCAAAGACGAATAATTTAGGTGCACCGGACGACAGCATTACGCATTACCTCTCAAATCTATCAACTGAATTTTTTAACGCGAATGATGGAGTGCAGACTCGTATAGCCAATGGTTTTTTCCTGAAGTAGGTGTCAACTCCTTATTACACCTAGGATTCTTTTCTTGTTACATGCTTCTAATCCAAACGACATTTTAGCGAACAGTTCGATATACAAAAGGATTACAAGGAAAGAATTATCAACCAGTATCATGCAAAGGTAGAAGCTCTCGACTTCTACAAAGCGGAACAGACGGCAAAGGTGCGTCCCTAATTTCAGTTTATTTGCATGTTTTAAAGTTTTTCTCGCCGAGACTCAAATATTTCCTTCCATTTGAAATATTTGGAGATTTGACCTACTCTGGTTTGCCCTATGATTCAGACTATTAACGACTTTGTTAACGAGACTACTAAAGGCAAAATACACGACCTCGTGAATGCAGACGCTGTTAAAGGTGGGTTTCCCACCCATTTGGGTTTATTGAACTTGGTGGTTAATTGGAACTGGAGTGTTTCAAAATGGAAATTTTGTTTGGCATGATCTGAAATGTATATGGTGATGACCTGCACTTGCGACGAATGTGCGCCTTGAGATGCCTCTACTGAGGAACTGACGATGTACGCAGCAAAGATCCAGTAGGCTTTCCTTAGATCGATAGGGAGCACTGGAAGACTGAAGCTTTTCGTCAATAGATAGGACGCTAGAGTGTGGTGGAATTGAGGTTCAGGTAAATAAGAGATTATAACGAGAGCAAGGGAACATTGTCTTTTTCTTACCTCTGCCTATCTTCCCATATGCAAATATGGCGAGAATGGGACAGACATTTTGGTCTTCGGCTTCTTCTACGCTCTGTAGATTCCAGAAGATGATATGAACAGCGAAATGTCGGAAAAACTCTGGAGTTGGGACCCATATTAACAACGAATTTTCACTATTATATGTGCCAAAATCATTAAATGACCTACAAACATGATGCTTTGTAGCGGTGCCTAATGTACAAGATCGGCTAGTGAGAGTCTAACGATAATTTGCTTGATACTTGATACCTGAACGGCCTGTCCTCACTGGTTGTGCGGGGCCCAGTACAATCACCATTTTTCGGAGATTTGCTGGCTGAACTATTGTGGTTTTGCCACGACCGACTTTTTATTAACTTCGGCATTCATCAAGTAATTTTCTTCGTATTTTTGTTGAGCAAACGCGAGGTGTTACTATTCTTTGTTCACGATTAAGCTGACGTTTCGGCGGATTTTGCCTTCCTTAGAGCCTGGAAAGGTCAAGTTGATAGCAATCTACTCGGCCAGACGCCTCCATAACCAAACAAAGAAACTCCAAACCAAGATTTCAATCACTTTGAACACAGCTTTGCATACTCACCGCTTCCTATGAGGTTTCCACTAAGTATGTCACGTAGAGACCAACCGCACAGAAATCACGTGGAAGTATAATGTGCCCCTCACATCAGAAAAGCAGTTTTATATACTGCCCTATATCACGCGTGATAATGAGGCATTTTTCCCTGCGGTTCATTTTCGGATTTCTGGAATTAATCCAGAGTGCCTCGAGAGTTTTTCGCGCCTGTGTTCTTGAATCGCGTGCGAGCATCGTGACACATACTTCGAAGTCGTCCCCGTTATCTCTCTGGGTCCTATGCGTGCCTAGCGGGGTATTTGGTCTATTTTTGCCGGCTAGGTGTTCTTTCATGCGGACACAGAGGGGTCTACCCGTTTCGCCAATGTATTCGCCACGTCTTACAGGAGATCAGATAAACTATACCCGAGCTCATGCAATCACCGTCTCTACCACTGGGGCAAATTATGCAATTCTCTCTGATTGTGGTTCTCTGGAATCCTGAGGCCAGTCTGGCTGAAGTCTGTTCCAGGTCTTCATAGCCACAGGCAGTCGCAGTCTTTGTGGATAAGAGGGAGATTTTCCACCATATGACTTTGATATCAGGACGGTGGTGGATCCTGGTATTGGTTTACTCTTAATTGGGCTTTCTTATGCAAAGGCCGCACTCCTCAGCTAAGGAGACCCTACCGGGGAGGTGAATCCCCCCGCTGTACATCGCAGTCCGACACTCGAGAACACCTCCCAGTCGTGATAAAGCGGTAAACCGTTGGAAGGGTCTAACGATGTCACTACCATATAATTCTGAGATTTCTTCACAGCGATGTTACGAGGAAAACATTGGTCTTTTATTGTTATTCGAATATCGAGAACTCAAGGAACAAAGCTGGAATGCTACAGGTGCAATTGGAAGCTTTACTGTCATGCGACTATCAGCGGATGTTGAGGTGGTGGACGACGTATTATTTTATCTTCTATAACTAGTCTAAATTTGTAGTACCCACTTTTCATAATTGTATTGCAGACGCTTTCTCACTTGTTATTAACGCTGTTTACTTTACTGCTGAGTGGTTGATGAAATTTTACAAAAGCTCCAATTCGAAGGCGTTGTTTTATGGTGCCCAAGCATTCACCAGAGAGGTTCGTTTCAGGCGTTTCACGATTTTTTTTTGAAAGCCTAACATTTTGCTGTCAAAGCAGAAATATTTATATCAGTAGCAAACATTAGGAGATAGAAGCACAGTGGTAGTGGGTCCAGTCATTACGAGTGAACCATCCGTTCAACCGCGTCCTTGATATCAAAAAAAATTATCGTACTATAACAAGTATAAATGCTTAAGGAGCACTGTGCCCCACTAAATTTTGATTTTCTCTCCAGCTCCTTCGCGAAATCGACGTAGTAACCGCGATGGAACCATAAAATATTCTGTAGTGACTGGTGAATCACAAATTCTAGTGGTCGCTGTTGTGTTAGTTGAGCTGCTGGAATATTAGAATTGGATTTGTGCAGTGGCGTCGAATAATCAAAATTCTGTAATATGCAGGTGTTATCCGACAACATTTGAAGAGCCGTAAATGAGTATGGAGAAATAAGAATTATAGTATGTAGTTGCTACGAAGAATTCTAAGCTATAGTTGCCAGATAAGTCCATGACGCCGGGTTTTGAATGAGAATGTTGGGAATGTCCATTAAACGAAGTGAACCACGATTCCATGCTAGATTCTTCTGCTTATGTCTGGCACACTGGTTTTGTGACAACTGGTCATACAGCATGCATCTCATGTTTGGGTTATTAATCCTTTAATTGTTCTGACAAGTACGAAATGCGGTTCACAACCGTGGGGTTTTAAATAAATAGCGTTCTGCATATGCGAAATAGAAACATTTAGCAGCCGATGTGAAAGAGTACAACTGTAATATCTCCAAAAGGGTAGAAAAGATTCTTTATGTGGTAAAGAGAATTCTATTAATTCTTTGTGTGGGGATATTTGAAAACAAGGTGGAGGCATATGCCAGCTTTTTCATAAATGAGTTCAGATTGAATTCATGAACGATTTCGAAGTACATAGACAATATGCAGAAGATGACGAAGTAGAGGTTCTGTCGCTTCCATACAAGGACGTATCTTATGCATTCAATATAATTTTACCTAAAAGGAGGTAATTGTTCACACTTGTTTAAATTTGGAGGTCTTAGGCATAAACACTGTGTTTTAGATTTGGTCTTGGATCAGCCCGTTCCAAACTCGATGGGACAAAAATTCAAAAACTGTTATCCCAGCTGAAGGAAACTTACGTAACAGTATGTTGTGGTTTTTCAGCAAAATTTGATTCCTGAAGGTTCTAATGTAACTCATTTGGATGATCCGTTCCACAAAAAAGTTCTCGTTAAATCCAACTCTCAGTCCTAATGAGCCTGTCGTCCCTATGAAAAAAGTAAATTAGCACCACGCTTCGCTACAATATGCCAATCTTCTATGTACTGGCCACTTCACCGTAGCAGGTAACACTTCACTATGCATCAAATTCGTGACCTTCCTGATAGGAGTTTTAAAAAGAGCACAAAATTGACGGAGTTAGTGAATGAGAATGATGAGCAGTTGACTTTTGGTGCTCCTGTATGTTCATATTTGCTAGCTAATATGCCGGACAATAGATAATTTGATTTACGGCTAACTCCGGGCGTTCAATATAAAGTGATTCATAAGCAAAGTAAGTGTAAGTGAAGTGAGTGGTAATAGAAATAACAACTTCATTTGTCCTGATTATCCACAAATTGAATACTCACGACTTGTTCAACATTGCAAACTGTTCGATCAAGACATGAGTACAAGTGCCATTGTTCCATAGTACAGTCGTTGTTGTTGGTACATACCCAAATCTCAGGTACGCCAAGCCTTTCTTCCCTTCAGAGTCGGAAAATTGGTACGAGATTTGTCTGGGAGGAAAGAGGATTGACTTGCTACAACGCTTGGCCACTCTAGGTCATTGTATAGGCCAATTATGCAATCAGTTAGCTCTGCGATGCTAAATGAACTCGAATTTAATGGCGCATCGCTCAAGAATTGACCGATACCAAGGGCTTTATTCCTTGTCGTTGCTCAAATTCTGAGGAGCTTTTCACTCAGGTTACAATTCCTAAAATGAAGATCGAAACCGATTTCGATTTAAAACAAGCACTTATGAATATGGGAGTCACCGAAGTCTTCAGTGATAATGCGGATTTGAGTGGAATAGCAAGTGATCCGCCGCTGAAAGTTTCAGAGGCTGCGCATAAAGCCATTATTGAGGTGGGTTTCTCTTAGTCTTGGCTATCAATTCATGCAAACAACCCAGCCAGTAAGAAAAGTTATTTTGAAAACATTTAATAGATGAAAAAATTTTTTTCGCATACTGTACAATGTCTCTCCACGATGTCCATCTAGCATGGGATAGTCGTTTTTCCATAAATAGTTGTCTTTTATGAAGAAGAAAGTTTGCTGTGAATTGGTTGAAAGATCTCATACAACGGCTTAATGTAGTTCTTTAAAGGTGGACGAAGAAGGTACCACAGCTGCTGCAGCTACACTTTTCAAAATCGTCCCAATGATGGCGATTATGGAAAGACCGAAATTATTTGTCGCTGATCATCCGTTCATGTTTCTTCTTACCAAAAATAACAATCCTTTGTTCATTGGACAGTTTGTATGAATCTCCTTTGACAAGTTTTTCTTCTTTTTGAATTGGTTGAAGAAATGATAAGTAAACTTAAATTATAAGAATACTCTTCTCAGTTCTAATATTCATATCGACACTACAGAATATTCGGAGCTACATATCATATATGTTCGTCGTCCCAGGATTATAACGTTGTCCGGCAGGAACGATTCCGGCAATTATGACAAACTGCAGTGTCAAGGTGTTTTCACGCCGTTATTACGATGTTTACTTTGTTACATTGCTCCAACGAACCACTGTCAATTCCTGAAATAATTTTGTTCTTGTTAGAACGTTGTCATGGAGATGTCGAACGTTTTCACATAGTAGGCAGCTTAGAACACTTTACCACACTCTTGAGCGGTGTTGTTGCAACATATTGCAACAGTGGAGCAGCAAACAACAGTTAAGTACGTTTCCCATGAATTTTCTGCCATTAGCATCCAGCAGAGGTTGTGAAGCGTACCTGTCAGAGATTTCCGGCGTTGTGCAGCCATCCGTTATTGCTCGAGTATTCGGATAACGAAACCATCCGCCCTTTTCGAATTCCAAATTGCTATAATGTTCCCAGCAAGAATAAATCCGCTGGCTTGATAAATCGGAAGGATCCTTAAAGGTATAACAAAAACTTAATTTGCATTCTATTAACTATCATTACACACTGTGATAGCAGTTGTGAATAACCGTTGGCAAGTGGAGATGCAGTGGATTTAATTGCAATATTTTCTTTCGACAGGATTAGGCATCGAATTCCGTCGATGGTGTTTCCAAGTGAGAAATAATTGGTGAAATATGTCGCACCACCGGTTCTCCCTTGCGACATCCGGCATACTACTTCGTCAGTGAAAAATGGAACACCACCAGATCCGGAGAGCATAAGATCCGAATTTCTGAAGAACCCTCCGCCAGTCTACGTAATCACACTAGCTCGGCTTTCCAAATATGGCTTATCTGAATGCTAGGTCCCTACTCACTGGAAGACCAGCAAGATCGTCCAACACTGTTCAAGAAGGGTGACCTCCACAATATCGTCAAGTATTGCGCTATCACTAGAGCACAAAAGGCAGCTGTTCCTCATTTTCATCGCCTTAAAGAAATCTGTTGACTCAGTTGATATAGAAGCAGCCATGGAAGCGCTCAACAGTCAAGGAGTTGCTACTCAGTATGTAAAGCGAGTCTCGTTGACGTCTAAGTTAGGAGTTAGGCAAGGCGGTACCATCTAGTCAAAATTATTTATCGTAACCCACGAGAACGTCATGCGAGCATTGGAATGGGACAATACGGGAATGAAAATCGATGGCCGGCAATTACACCATCTTCGCTATGCTGATGACGTTGTTCTTATAACACCAAATGCTAGCCGAGCGAGACAAAGACTTGCCGACCTTGATAAACCCTATTAAAATTTGGTCTTCTACTAAATCTAACAAAAACGATGTTCATGAGGAACGGATTGGTTGCGAGTGCATCATTCACGCTCGAAGGAAAGAACATCTTCGAATGCTCCATTTACGTCTATACAGTAGGTTGGGAAATCAACATGATAAACGATTTAGCTCCAGGGTTAGGCAGAAGGAAGCGAGAGGCTTGGGGAGCTTTCAAGAGTATCGAGAAAGTGGCGAAGTGGACAAAGAACACCCGACTCCGCCCCCACCTTTTCGACTCAACGATACTTGTTGCTTTAACGTATTCTTCAGAAACCTGCTTGATGCGTAAGCAGAACGATTACTCAGTGTTATCGAACCCGCAGTCGAAAGGTGATGCTAAGAGTATCCTGTGTCACACGTGTCAGGTAAGGGAACCGAATCTCCCACGTGCATCACCGATTAAAGGTCAAAGAAGCTGTTCTATTCTCTAAACTGTCGAAAATAATGTGAATAGAGGACGCAATGCGTATGGGCGGCAACTAATAGTCCGTTAGTGACTAGTGACGTCGAGATGTCAAACGTACTGCAGGACCGACCTGACCTGAAAATGAAATAGAGTCCGATTCTAATATTACTCACTGAGACGTTTAGGCATCAAATTTCTTGGGGAGGACATCCTATGGCGTGTGGGAGTCCGCCAATGTCAGTGTGGCCGACGGTTGGTGGGCCACGAAGTGTACATCTTGGTTGCGGACCAGTTCGGGTCACTCCATCGTGGTTCTGCGCCTTGTCGACCTCGTGTTCTTGTGGCTCTCTCGGACCGGCGCCGTGGTCGTGCGGCTCTTGCCGCCCATTCGCGCTTATGATTTGCGCATTCTGATTGCAAAATCATAACATCGGCGACGGGTCCTTAACGAGAGCGTGGATGTGCGCCGCGGCGCATGGTACTGCGTGTAACTGCCACGGAGTACAACTGCTCGTCTTGATATCGCGGCCAACGGAATTGCTGCGTCGTATTGCGTGCGAGTTGCAGTCTAGTTCTCTCCGTTGAAGAATTGCAGAGAAGAGTGCGTTTGGGCAATTTTTCAAATCAAGTTCGTTTATCGACACATTCGAGAAATTCGCATTATGAAGAGCTGGGAAACGTGTTCTTTCGATAGAATTCGACAGGAAGTGATTCTATTGCCAGTCAAATACAAGTCATTTACAAATGAGGACCAGGATTTCGTTCGTGCATACGCTTCGGTGCTAGCTCGTTTTTATTGGAGATCTTATGGAAACAATTCTGACCGGAGATATTTCGAGCGCAGCAACAAAAACAACAATAACAACAAAGAACTGTATGTTATCAAACTAAATGGAACGTCAATTGACCATATTACATCAGGTTCATCTTAAGAACTATTGAATATAACGCTGTCAAGAAAAACTGTACGTCATGAGTTTTCAACAGATCGCGGAAAATGCTTAACAAGAATGAGAGTGGTGGCAATTATGAGATCAACGGAGAAAAATCCCACTTTGATGGTAACTTTAAACGAAAACAACCGAAAAAGAACGGAAAAAACTACGAGAACAAGGCAAGCAGTCAAGAAAAGCTTAAAATCTCCAATATGTGATCAGAGAGCTATTAGAATATGACACTTCTCAGTAGTTGAAAGAACACGGCGGCTTATTCGAATTGGTATTGATTCTTTCCAATAATACTACCTTTGCCAAAAACATCTTGGGCTGGTTCCTATAAGAATCACCCTTCGCGGTGAACAACAACCATTGTATTTAAACACATACATATATACATATTTATATTTATATAATGCCACGCAGCAATAAACGCAATGGACAACACTGCTATCACCACTGAGCAACTGCTCAGTGCTAATACCTTTCGATACACCTCTCATTGGTTCCAACACACAGCCATTCAGCACCGGTGCGAAGCACTGTATCGGACCGTGGCATCGAGCCACTCACTACAAGAAATTTAATCCATGTGAAAAGTGGAAACCGATAAATCACTATCGAGTCTCGAGTGTGCCAATGAATTGAACTGTCACGAAAACCCCATGACGGACTTTCTTTTAACCTCGGCATTGATTGACAATTCGATGTTTTTCTTCAATAAACCTCGTGTAACAAAAACGTTAATGTACAGTCAAACAACTCATATCAACACCTTGTCCGCCCATGAAAGGACGATTGATCGCCAAATAAGTGAACAGCGCTGGGCCGAGCATACCCTTTCGCAATACTTCCGGTGATGGACTGTAGAAATACTGAATTGCTATGTATAGAATTTCTCACTATACCCTCTTGCATTATCGCTGAAACAATGTCGATAAGAATTCGAATCGACATTCCGACACCTGGATTCCCATCGAAATTTTAAGTTTTCGGTTAATTGTGCAGGCAATCTTGAACGGTTGCTTGATTTCGTCCAACGGATATTGGAGTTGGGTGCATGAGCAAAACGAAAGGAAACAAAATAATTGTTTATACATTCAGTACTCGGTGTGAATTCGTGCAAGCATAATATCAACGCTGGATTTGACCAAGAAACCATCACCGAAAGTATATTACACCGCTGGTTTCATTTTTCGCGAGAGGTAAGCCTTAAGCAAGACGAGAGTTGACAATGTATTGTTGCCAAGTCAAGTGGTCATTTAAAGGATTATTAGATTATATTTATATATGTTAAAAGTTAAAGATAAAAGCTCTCTGCGTTGATCAATCTCTGAGACATGCATTAGACTTCATTAGACATCGTTTAGAGGTGAGACAACGGATATCTGGCCTTTACAATGACTCGCGGTGGCCTACCGATGCATTGAGCCAGTGCTGCTATCCTCCTAGACAAGTATGATACCAATTTGCAGACCCCGTAGTGATGGAAGGCTTGGTGGGCCATCGGCGCAGGAAGCGACCCCATGTATACTGAAGGGCACCCCGATCACTGCATTACAGGCCCTCTATTCATATATTGTAGCTTTTTTACTTACTACCTTTTACAATTTTTCACTGCTGGGTATTATGTGTGTTACAACCGCAATTATACTGAGATCTTTGCAAAATACTTGCAAAACTCTGCATTACAGGTGTCCATGGAGCGGAACGAACGCGATATTACCCTTTTCGGGGGTTAACGTGTTCACCATAACACCATGCCTCCGTAAAGGGTGATAGCGCGTTGGTTCCCTACAGTAGAAGCTTGCAGTTTTTGCAAATATATCAGCATCATTGTGGTAGTATGGACAAAATTAACGGAAGAAGTTTCTTAAGGTACAAAGGTAGTTGACCTCTCTCTTGGAAAAGCATTGTGACTGGTTAGCTGTCACTCAAAATTAGGCGTAGTTGTTAATGTGTTAACAAGGTCCTATGAACGACATGCGTGTTTGAGCTCAAAATTTAAAAACCATGAAGCCTTTGTGATCTGACTTCATTTAAAAAAGTGCGGAAGACTCACCCGAAAAACTGGAGAAACATAATCTCTAAGTGGAGCGATAAATATCGGAGAGAGAACGGCCACTTCTTTAAGGTTTCTGAACTACGAAAAGAATAGATGAGACCGAAATAGAAATGCAGCCGCAAGTGCAATGCATATGCAACAGATTAACAAGTCTTTGCACC